CTCTGTATACACAACTATATAAACATCGAAAACCACTATGAATTCTAACAATAAAACATCAAAGTTCAACGAAAAAAAGCTATAAAACCACTATAAAGGACACCATCTTCTCTCCAATGAACCTTCGAGCATAATTCGTGTAATCATCTTCTTCTCGTTATTCCATTTCGTCTTGAAAATTTGAGCCATAAACTAATATTGATATCCTCGTATAAATTACCAAAATATTGAAAACTGGATTCTTAAATGCATAAAATAATATAAAATTCAATATCATACTAATATCCCTCATACAAAATTACAATATATCTAGGAAAATAGAATTCCCAACGTGTGGCAATGAATATCCATTACCAAAAATTATGAGCAGATTTCGCCTAATTTATCCTATATATCCTAATAATGACTTGAATTAGCAAGGAAGTAACGCAAAAAAGATTTAGAAAAAAAATATGAAATACTAGAACAAAAAAATCTCAAATTATTCAGTAATTTAATCTAGACCTTCGGAAATCTATGGAATAGTATACGAACAATTATCTGATAAAGCAGAAAAACAGAAATAGTAAAGGATTAGGGCTCTGTTGTGCTTCACTAGAAGGTTAAGTTGAAACTTAATCAAAATGAACATGTATAACCTTGTAGAAAAGATCTTCCACTTCTCGCTCCCGAATGTCACCGGGGAGGTTACCGACATAGAGAGTTTTGCTAGAGCGACTCATCCTTGCTACAGAAAATCAAGCAAAAAAATAATAAATAAGAAAAATAAAGTAAGAGTACATAATCTACATGATTACAATTGCAGAAAACAAAATCAATGAATATGGCGATAAAGATTGTCTCCGGTCCATCAATTGCAGAACATAACGAGAACCACTCTGTGTGTTGTTAATATGAAACGTTCTGTTCTGGTCCTACAATCGGATCGGTAGAAGAAGTGTGGAAAAAATACAGAGATAGCTATGAAACGGTTTCTCTGTAATTAAGGGCCGCAATCGTGGGATTATATGAGGATGTGTTGTTACGATAAAATAGGAAAAAATATTACAAATCTTTTTTAATTTTTTTTATTTCCAATCATAAAATATACGTTACTTTTAAGTTGGGGGTATAATAGTGATAATTTATTATTTTTTATTATTTAATAATTAAATGGATTTATCTCAAAAAATTCTAAAAAAATTGTACCTACTGTAATTAGACCTGTGTAATGGGGGACTTTTGACAAATAATCCCTTATTTGAGATAGTTTCTGGATTATATTGTATTGGGTGAAATGCATTTTCAGTTTTTTAACTATTACAACGTCCCGAAACTTTTAAGTATGGGTAAATTACGAAAAACCCCCTGAACTTAGGCCAAATAACAAAAACCACCCCCAACTATCCGTAATAACCAAAACCCCCCTCTGAGCAACTTGATTGAGTTTTTTAACAGAAAATGTGTACAGTCTGTTATACCTTATGTTAAATAAGTGAGAAATAAAAGAAAATCTGTGAAATTGTGTAAGGTATACCCTGGAATAAAAAAAAAAACCCGTGAAAAGTCGCATTGTAAGGGGGTTGGTGTAAGACGAAGACAAACCTCTAGGGGTTTTTGATAATTACGAATAGGTGGGTGTGTTTTTCGTTATTTAGTCTAAGTTTAGGGAGGATTTTGTAATATACCCTTTTATTTATGAAAATAGTCCCGAAACCTTATTCAGGCAGGTACGTAAAGGTTTTATTTCCGAAAAAAAGAAGACCACATTCATCGTTTTATTAATAGCCACAAAAAAGAAATAATAATAATAATAATTTATGTCAAAAAATGTTTAAAATAGTTTTCTAATTATATTGTGACGTGTACTATAGCAGCCTTCCTAGAATTTCTTTTACTTTTTTAATGTATATAAAAATATAATTTGACCTGATGAAAATAAAATTCTGGATCGGCAAATGTTCGATATAACTATATAGGGAAATTTACAGTTTTCATTCTTCAAGTTTGTAAAGATTTGATATTTAGTCCCTTATATTTTAATAATTTGACTTTTGGTTATTTATGGCAGTTTACACTTAGTCCGTTAGATAAGATAGTGATGGACACACGTATGATTTCGTTAGTTTTAACAGAAAATTGACGGAAATTGCTAAAAATGTTGAATTTTTAAAATATGAGGGGCCAAATGTAATTTTGGTGAACATGGAGGACCAAATGTGGAATTGGTTCAAACTTGTGGGGTGAAAACTATAATTTTCCCTAACTATATATATAAATGGGGCAATTTGCTATAGGTCCTCCTATAAGAGATTATATGTGTTAAAATCCATCTAATAAACTCTAATTTCCAGCAAATTTTTGTATTTATAATTTGTCAAAAGTACCCCTATCAATATGTCTAGTAATATACGGTAAAATATATCTTCAAAATCAAATCCCCCATTTCTCTCCCTATTATACTGCAAATCCGAAATTCCAATTGCAAAAATCTTGAATTCGATTTCTCCCCTTATTCTTCAAATCGAAAATCTCACCACGAATTTTGAATCCTTCAAGAGGTTTTGGGTGTTTGGTCGTTTGCAGTTTTACCAGGTCGTTTGCATTTTGTCTTCGTTTTCGATTTGCTGTTCAATTTTTGGGTTCTTGGTCGTTTGCAGTTTTGGGTGTTTTGGTTGTTTGCAGTTTTCGATTTGCTGCAGTTTGCAGTTTTCGATTTTTGGGTTCTTGATCGTTTGCAGTTTTCGATTTGCTGCAGTTTGCAGTTTTCGATTTTTGGGTTCTTGATCGTTTGCAGTTTTCGATTTGGTCGTTTGCAGTTTTCGATTTGCTGTTCAATTTGCTGTTCAATTTTTCGATTCGGTCGTTTGCAGTTTTCGATTTGCTGCAGTTTGCAGTTTTCGATTTTTGGGTTCTTGATCGTTTGCAGTTTTCGATTTGGTCGTTTGCAGTTTTCGATTTGCTGTTCAATTTGCTGTTCAATTTTTGGGTTCTTGGTCGTTTTACCATGTCGTTTTGGGTACCAGGTCGTTTTGGGTGTTTGTCGTTTGCAGTTTTACTTCGTTTTGTTTGCAGTTTACAAATTGTTGTTGCCCACTTTGACTTCGTTTTGTTTGCAGTTTACAAATTGTATGTAATAAAATCATACTAAAAAAAATATAACGAGTGAATACGATATTACAATAATTTTGTAACATTAAATATGTGTTTGAAATTATTTTTGTTATTTTACATTTATGTTTATTGATCCAAGTCAATTAGAAAAATGCATAAAAATATTAAAAAGTAGAATAAAAAAATAAGAAATGTAAATGTTTATTGATCCAAGTCAATTAGAAAAATGCAGGAAAAAATTAAAAAGTAGAATAAAAAATAAGAAAAATGAAAAAGTTGGGAAAGAGAGAGAGAGAAATAGACGTGAGAGATGAGAGAGAGGAGAGTGAAAGAGGGGGGAGAGGAGAGAGTGAGGAGAGTGATACGTGGGATTTGCTCCATAATTTTCAAAAATAGTATTTCATATAAATATTAATTAAGGGTATTTGTGTCTATATAATAATATTTTAATTTAATTAATATTAATTATATTGACCAAAGGACCTACACCTATATTCATCTAACAATTTGGATTTCCACCTATATAAGTCCAAAATTAGGGGTGTCTAGCCAATTTCCCCTATATAAATATAAATTCAGTTCACTACAAAGAAAATCACTTCCCTTTAATTTTCTCCGACAACTTTAATTCTCGGAGGCATTATCCAATTTGTTAAGATTTTTGAAGAAATACATTTTTTTCCTACACACACACACACATATACATAAATATGGATGCTCGTAATAATAATGACGATTATGGGGTATTTTTCACTACTGAATATCAAGATGGTTGTGCTGAAAATACGCTAACCGGATTGAGTGACGACGTGGTTCAAAGCGACCGCCACGTCACTTTGAGTTCCGGTCATCATCATCCAACTTTTCCGGCAGGTTTTCAACAAATGAACTCCCCGGAATTTCCTTGCTCCGGGGATAATATTTTTCATTATTTGGAGAATGTGGTAAAATCCAGTGCCACTCTTATGAAGCATACCGCTCCACATTGCCTCGCCGAAGCAATACAACAAATCCATGTGAGTTTTTAATAATTAATTTAATTTATTCTTTCCAAAAAAATATAATTAATTAATTAATAACATCGATCAATAATTATTGGGAAATAATGCGGATGTTTGATTTAATTTGTTATTTTTGGATGCAGGAAGACGATCGTGATCAGGGATGGAAACAAAAGAGAAAGCTGTCTGGTAAAGCACATAACCTTAATGAGAGGGTGAGTACGTATATAGTTAAACTTTTCAATTTATCGAGGTTGTACTGTGTAACTAGTTTTATTAATTAAAACATATTCGCATTTGATATATCTTGGATTTCGATTTCCAATCCTTTTAATTTTTAAAATACGTTTGAAAAATTCAATTCCAAAAATTACACTTATGTAATTTTACCGTTGATCTACACGCCAATGTGGGTGTGTGTGTTTTTGTGTGTAAAATCTACCCAGTGTATTATTCACCGCGGATGTAGCATACACAGATAGACCATTTTATACACCTTCTTCTAAGCCATTTTCTTTTATAATTACCTCATTCAGTCATAAATTCTGTATTTTTTTTGTTCAGTTTTTTATAATTCATCTTTAAAATGATATATTGTGAATTAATGTCATTTAGCTGCGGAGGCAAAAATTTCAAGACAAAATTACAGCTCTCCAGGAATTGATTCCCAACTGTCACAAGGTTTTTTTTCCCACCAAAATTTCACAAGTACATAATAATTCATTATTATATATTTACTCTTTAAATTTTCATCTCTCTCTCTCTCTCTCTCTCTCTCTCTCTCTCTCTCTCTCTCTCTCTCTCTCTCTCTCTCTCTCTCATTTGTAGAGAGATAAAGGATCTATTATAGACAAAGCCATGAAGTATATAAAGACCTTAGAATCTCAAGTTGATGAGGTGCATGTGCAGATCCTCTGATCTCTCTTTCTTTTTTAATTTGATTTGATTTTATAAAAAAAATGTAATAAATTGAAATAAGTAGGCGTACCAGATGATGATGTCAATGGCGCCAATGATGATGATGCCTCAACGGCCAGGATTAATGCAGATTCCAACCCTATCTCAATTCCCACCATTTTATGATCCAAGTACTCCTGGAATTGGACATTGGAATGGAATTGGAACAATGGGAATGGGAATGGGAATGGAAATTCCGACAAACGGCCATTCGGGATTAATACCGTACCGGAATCAGCTCATTATTCTTCACTTGAAAATTATCCATCAGGCTGGAATTATGTATTGCCACCGTGGCATGGAACCAGCTTTCCTGCCTCAGGATCACAAGGTACAACTAGTCCATCACAAGGTGCAACCACGGCAAGCGTGCTACCAAGTCGAGCCGTTTTTTCTCGTGTTGGTAATGAAAACCGGCCGGTCCAGCCACTCTGGATCGAGTGAACGGTTGGTCTTTTCTTTTCTTTATTTTTCAGTTTTTTCAGTATTTATTTTTTCATTTAAAATATTAAATATTACAATATATAAGTTTTTTTTTTTAATTTTATAGCATGTGATTAATGCAGGGACACTAGCGGTTCAATTGCAAAATTCCAAGGCTACCCCTAATTACAAGCCATTTTGGCTCATCTATTTAATTAGGATATTATGTCCAATCTTTTCTTGTTAATTGTTATTGATCTTCTTTTAGTGCTTGTTTTTG